AAAAAAAAAAAAAGAAGGCATCCAGGAACCATGTGTTGATGGATGAATGAATGAATGAGTGAGTGATTGAATTCCCCGCTTCCCCTTCTTCCAGGGGAGAGAGCACCAGGGTGGCCTGAGAGGACAGTGTGGTACAATAGAGACTATTCTCTGAGGTAACTACTTTTTTTGCCTGCCTGAAGTGTGTGTGTGTTTGCTCTTTAACTTGTTTCTAATCTGGAGCCTCTCGAGATGTGGGAAAAGGGAAGACACTCAGCTATGGGAAGGGACCCTGCCCCGGCCTGCGCAGAGCAGGGTCGGAACCTGGGCACATTCTGGAAGTCGGGAGACTCCCTTGAGTCTGAGCAGCATGTTGAGACCCCAGGTTAGCACAGGCCTGGTGTGCTGCGGGCAGAGGATGGGCCCTTGGCCGCTCAGTTCTGCTTTGTGGCTGAGCTGAGTGCTGGAGTGGGAGATTATTTCCTCTGAGGGCTGAGCGGGGAGGACAGTGCACAGGGTAATTTATCTCACCTAACCATCTGGGAGCACCTGGAGGGCGGGAGTTGTGCTTTCTTACCTTTGTAGCCCCCACCCTGTAACCTGACCCTCAGGCGCTCCAGTCAGGGCCTGGCCCACAGGACAGTCAGTAACTGGGATGCCACAAATGAATGTCAAGGCAGGACTCGCAGGCCAGTCACACCTCCAGTCTCAACAGGGACAGGGAAATGCCTGGGAATCTGCTTCAGGCACCTTCTGGAAGCTGGGGGCCCTCCTCCTACCGGGGAGGGGTTCTGTTTCCCAAGAGGGAGCAGATTGCCTGATTCTCTGTCCTTGGCTACAGCGCCACCTGCTGGAAGTCTCTCTGCATGACACCCAATTTACTGCGTGCTCCAGGTGGAGGGCCTAAGGTGCGGGATTCTGGGCTTGGGGGTTCCTGGGTCAAGGAGGAAGAGCTTCAAGCCACATAAATAAATAGGTATTTCTCCCACCTCAAGCAAGTTATACTGCACACCACTGCTAGGCCACGTCTTTCTAAGGCAGCGCTTTGATGCCAACCGCCACTAGGCCTCCTAAACGCTGAGGACCTCTCTAACCAGCCCTAAGGAGGAAGGCCCTGAAGCTCAGTATGGCAGTCAAGCCCCTCACCGTCTACCTGCACCTGCTTTCCTGGTGTGTCTTCTCTTTCTGAGGACAGGCACCCACTGTCCCATTGTCCCCGGCTTGTGCCTGAGGTTCTGCAGTCCTGGGTGGGAATAGATGATTGTGCAACATCCCAGCTCCCCTCTCCCATCCCCCTTCCTCGCTGAATTACTGTGGGAGGCCCCACTCAATCCCACATCTCTATCTTCAACATGCTCTTGTCAGGGTCCAATGCACCGCCCATCCTCCACTGACTCGTCTTAGTGTGAAGTGCTCGAGGTTTCTTTAAACATGTACAAATCTTTCGTTACTCTAGAGAAAGCCCGCTTTGACTGTCAGTGAGAACTGAGAAACCTCAAAGTTTTGATAAGTCACAACGGGTAGATACAAGGAGTAAGAACTGTTTCTATTTCACTCCATCAACCCCTTCCCCTGGGCCCTGTCCCATTTCTTTGTCCCTGGCAGAGGGGAGGGGAAAGGAGGTGTGACTAGGGTGTGTGTGCGTGTGTAGATGATGTCTCATTCCAGGTGTATTGGAAATGGTGGATGAACAAGGATTTGTAGAGCCAAGAAAGGCCATTTTCAAGAAAGGTAACCAAATGGGAATTTAGGGGAACTCTGGTGTGTGGCAGAAGCCTGGTCAGCGGCCATGAGTCAGATCATTTCTGTCTGTTAGAAAGTCATAAAGCAACAGGCCTTAGGCAGCAGCTTGGGTGAGGCCACTGAAGTTGGGAATCTCAGGGGTTGAGAAGTGGATGACTTATATGTTGGGTATTTTCTGAGTTCTTGAGTTTCTAGTAATAATCATAATGAAAAGAAAATTCCCTAGAACTCCAACCTGAGCCCCCAGCAAGGGAAACTGCTTTCCTGTCTGGGAGGAGAGGATTGCTGGTTGGTTGCTCTCCCAAATCCCAAACTTTCATCCCCACATTTTCCAGGGCCCCTAGGGAATCATGGCTGCCCATTAGCTGGCCCCAAAAGCCACCCCAAACTTTTTCCTCTCTGGGATTCCTCCCCTGCCAACACAACTTTTTTAAGGGGGCAGAAGAGAGGGGGAGGGAAGAAGCAGGGAGGCGGTAAGGAAATTTGGAGAGAAGGTGAGAAGCCTGGGGGTCCCCCTTTCAGATAGGCAGGGATGGATGACAGCTGGTGGAAACTTGTAGTCCCTATGATAGCAACTGTTTTACCCAGTGATATAATTCAAATTCATTGAGCTTTCACTATGCACCAAACCGTTCCATGTATGATCATTTTCATCATCACAAAAGCCCTGAGGTAGGTACTACTCTAATCCCCATCCAGTACTGAGGAAACCGGAGCACAGTGAGATTAGCAACTTTCCCAGAGTCACACCACTGGCTAGTAGTGGAGCTGGGCTTTGAATACTTCAGTCTCCAGAAGCCACACTCTTAATCCGTATTTTGTGCTGCCTCTTAGTCTCTGTGTAGCTCTCCCTCATAACATCCTGTGAGCGATGCCTGGTGATCCTCATGCTATATTCCAAAAAGTAGAGGCCCAGAGAGGTTAAACCACTTGCCAGAGGATCACACAGCTGCCAAGAGCTGGATCTGAGATTTGAACGGAACTCTCACTACTATGTCACCTTACATTTCCAATGAGTCCTCTGTGTATAGGGACCTCCGTGGAGTGTGACGAGAATCCTCACTTTCCCACATCCCGTGGGTCATCCAGCTCTGTTGCTTCTATCCCCTAACACCTCAGACTGGCCCCACCTCTGCCCTGACATAAGACCTCAGAGCTCCTTCTGAAATGCAACTCACATCCCTTAACTCACCTGACTGAAAAAGAAAAATCTTCACTGGCTCCCCATTGCTTTCAGGACAAACCCCTCAGCAATGCCACACAAAATCTTAAAGACTGGTCCTGCCTGTGCCTCTTGCCTCCCTTCTTAACTTCCTCCCTGGCATGGCCCACATTCTTTACACCCCCCTCAACTTGCTCCTACCCTGTTTCTGTTAGCTTTTGTCAGAGCTGACTGGCGGGGAGTCCAAAGGCTGAGCCCCCAGGATGTTGGCTACATCGGATTTTCAAGAAATTGGATGTGGAAGCCTTTAGGTGGGGCTTGCACCCACTGGTTCACTCTGCTCCCCTCCACTTACCACGTCTTACATCCCTCATTTGCCTTGTTGGCCTCTGATGGAAATCGAGTCTGCTCTCCCTGCCACATCCTGACTCCCTTGTTCCTCCTTGCCTGGTTTGGTAACTTGTACACGCCTTTCAAAACCCAACTTAAATGCTCCCCCGACCCATGTTCACTATTTTTCTTTGCGCTTCCCACGTGCCTCACCGTTACCCCATGAGCACTATGTCTCCCTCTGTCTCAGTGGCTTATTGACAGAAATCTCTCTCTCCCCACAAGACCGGTCATGCCCGAATTCCCCCATCAATGATAGTTGACCAGAAGAAGGTACCAAAGAGGAGAGATTTTTTCCAACAGCGACCTGAGGCTGCAGCGTTCCCCTCCTCCCCAGCCATGCTCCCAGGCCAGAAGGCTTTGGCCCTGCATTCCTTCAGCTTCCCTCTGCCACCATTTCAGGCCAAGCTATGAGACCTAAGTCTCTCACAGGCTCATTTTTTTCTTTTCTCTGTTTCGGAGAAGTCTGAAGTCTTAAGACTCTTCTCTCTCGAAGGTGGGGAGGGCGCCGCGGGCTGCTCATTCAAATCGTGAAAGAGACCAACTCAGCCCGGCTTTCGGCTTTCGTGTTTTCATTTTGTGTAACAGAAACTCTGCCTCCTCACCCACCTCTTGCTCTCTGCTGGGCAGACAAGAGAGAAAAACAGATCTCTACCAACGGCCCCGAGTCCATTCTGAGCAAAGCTTCTCTCAGTGGCTTCCCTTCCTACCCGTATTTCAGGCTTGGCCGTTGGGGTTCTCTCTCAAGTTGAGTGAAGCAGGCAAGAACATCCCTTTCTCCTAAACCAGAGGTTGCCCTCCCTCCCCGCATCAAAGCCTGTGAGGCTAGCACCCCAAACCTAGGTCTGGGGGAAGACCCTCAGTGGTGGACTGGGGCTGGTTCTCATGGCCCGTGGAGCCTGTGAGCACATCCCTCCCTGACTCCCTGCTCAGTCATTTCAAGCCTTTAAATAGCCTAAGGCTTGAAATCAACCCTTGGGGGGAGAATTTACACTATGGAAATTGGCAAGAACTGCCAATCAGCGCCCTTCCCCCTGTGGGGGAGCAGGTTTTCCAACATTTCCCAGCACCCCACGGGGATGCACAGAGGCCGCAGAGGTTTCCTTCACAGAGGTCACAACAGAGAGTCAGAAACCAGTCCTCAGGGGGTGATGGCCTCCGTTCTGTGACTGTGGTAAGTGGGGTGGGGGTCTGGGGAGTGGGATTAGGGAGCAGGCTGGGAGGAGAGGAAGTTGGAAGAGATTTTTAAAAACTAAAATCAACTCAAAGTTCTTGATGTCATTCATTCATTCATTCATTCATTCTACAAACTTTCTGCTCACACCCCCAAAGCATCAGAGATGGAGATGCAAGGATCAGGCCCCACTTTCCAGGCATTCCAGTGGTGGGCTGGGTGGCTACTTTAACCCCTCTACAGTGGATGGCTGGGTCCGCCCAGGGTTCTGGGTAAGCTGGGTTGGGGTGGGGTGGGGGGAGGCAGAGTAAAGGCAAGAGACTGTGGTGTGGTGGGAGGAGTGTGAGGATAGCACAGGGTGCACCAGTGAACCTTCACTTTTTAAAGGCAACCTCTTGCGGCTTTGAGGCCGCCGTGGTGCTTTGCTTGCTGGTGAGAATGAACCATCCAGGAACTTGGCCTTTGTAGCCTCAGCCGGGTCTGACTTCATGGCTGAGATTTACACATGGGGTGTCTGGAGCTGGGCATACCCCTCAGAACCCTCTCAGAGCTTCTTTTGTAATTCCTCTAGTTAAGCCTGAGGTTAGACCAGAGGACAGGCTTTTCAAAGGGAAGAGTCATCTGCCAGGGCAGAAAACATGAAGAAGTGAGGCAGGGGCCATGCTGGAGGCCTGGGCTATGACTTCTCCAGGCTGTCCCGTTTCCTGCGGCCCACCCAGCCTTTAACCTGCAAGCGGCGGCAGCAAAGCCAGGGAGATGTGGAGCCGGCTTGCGTTTTGCCTCGTACGTACCGCTGGTACAAGGCGGCACCTTCCATTTGCTCCTAAGAGCACAGGCTTCTGATCCCTGCTTAGCAGGCAAGAAAGGTGGAAAGCAGAGGGAGGACGAGGCATGGAGGGCCCGGAGCCCTCTGAGCACTTTGCCCTGATGAAACAGGTCCCATCACCCCTAGCTGAGATGAAGACAGGTGCCGTCTGGATCACCACCAACCCCAGCCCTGTAGCCTTCTCCGGTCCCTACTGTTCTAGAAAGACACCACCTCCCCCCCCACCAAGCCCCCGTCTTCCCTGGTACCAATGGTTACCTCTTCCCCCAGGTCTGAAAGGTGCATCTGTTGTGCCTGGGAGAACAGGGTGGCATTCTCTGGAAGCAGATACTGATTGCCACCAAAGCAGAACCTGATTTCTCCGGGAGGCTCCCCCACGCCTTCCATCCCCCTCCCCCATCTCCATTCCACGGAGTCAGGCTGGATGTCAGAGTGACCCAGTGCTGCTCTTTCCCACACAGGGAGGCTCACTCACCCAAGTCCATGACACTCTCTGGGCAGCTGAAACCACAGAGGAAGGCTGTGCCGGGTCTCGAGCTCCCACTGTCTGGGGAGGAAGTGCTTTTAAAGTTGTGAGAGGAGCCAGCCTCTTTGCCCCTCCTACCCCAGCTCCTTCCTCCAATCTGACCTCAACCATGGCCCCATGGCCCCTACGGTGTCTTCTAGAACCAAAGGGTATGAGAACATGACAGTGACAGCCCACTCAGTGGTCATAGGATTATGAATCATCAGGTTATTTATGCTCAGAAAGCCCCCTGCGTAGCCCAGCAGACAAGGATCCCAGCCCCAGGCAGGAGAATATGGGCCAGTTATTGATTTGACACACGTTTAAGCCTGACTACCACGGGCCAGGGAGTCAGAGGTGAAGGAGGGATTATCCCCATCCCTCCCTTGCCCTGCTCAGTGTCACAGAAAACTACAATTTCCCAAACGACTTTGCCCTCCAGCTTCTTGGGTAGGTTTGGCCAATGGGAGGCACTGACAGATGATGAAAAGTAGAGGAGAAAGGGTATGTCAGAATGTTTCTGACACCTTTATTGAGATATAACTCATATATGTATATGTGTGTGTATATATATATATATATATATATATATATATATTGCACCCTTTTAAAGTGTACCAGTCAATGGTTTTGTACATTCACAGAGTTGTGCAACCATCACCACCATCTGTTTTAGAAGATTTTTTATCACCTCCCCCTATTCATTAATAATGACTCCCCATCTCCCCTCCAACCCTGCCCCCAGCCCCTGGTCGCCACCACCAATCTTTCTATCTCTATAGATTTGCCTCTTGTGAACACTTCACATAAACAGATTTATATATGTGGCCTTGATGTCTGGCTTCTTTCACTTAGCATCATGTTTTAAAGATTCAACCACGTTATAGCACGTCTGATATCCTCATTGCTTTTCATGGCCCAGTATTCCATCGTATGGCTATACCACATTTAGTCTATCTGTGATCAGTTCAACATTTGGATGGTTTCTACTTTTTGGCTCTTATGAATAATGCTGCTATGAACACTCATGTACAAGTTTTTGTGTGGACAATTGTTTTTATTTCTCTTGGGTATATACCTAGGAGTGGAATTGCCAGGTCATATGGCAATTCCATGTTTAACATTTTTTAATAAGATTTATTTATTTATGAGAGAGAGAGAGAGAGAGTACGCGCAAGGCTGGGGGGAGGGGCAGAGGCAGAGGGAGAGAGAGAGAATCTCAAGCAGACTCCACGCTGAGCACAGAGCCCATGGTAGGGCTTGATCTCATGACCCCGAGATCATGACCTGAGCAGAAATCAAGAGTTAGATGCTTAACTGACTGAGCCACCCAGGGGCCCCCCGTCTTTAACATTTTGAAGAACTGTCAAACTATTTCCCAAAGTGGCCTCACGATTTTATATTCCCATTCAAAATATGTGAAGGTTCCACATATGGTTCAATATACGAAGGATCCTTGACAAAACCTGTTATTGTCTTTTTGATTCTAGTCTTCTGGTGGTTATGAGATGGTATCTCATTGTGGTTTTGATTTGCATTACCCTAATGATGTTGAGCACCTTTTCATGTGCTTATTGACCATTTCTATATTTTCTTTGGAGAAGTATCTATTTATCATTTGCCCAAGGGCGCCTGGGTGGCTAAGTTGGTTAAGCATCTGCCTTCAGCTCAGGTCATGATCCTGGAGTCCCAGGATCGAGTTCTGCATCAGGCTACCTGCTCAGCAGGGAGTCTGCTTCTCCCTCTGCCCTTCACCCTGCTCGTGCTCTCTCTCAAATAATAAAAATAGATAAAATCTTTAAAAATAAATAGATAAATCATTTGCCCATTTTTAAATTGGGTTATTTGTTTTTTATTGCAAGTTGTTAACTGTTCTTTATTTATTCTAGATACAAGTCCTTTATTAGCTACAGTACTTGCAAATATTTTCTTCCATTCTGTGGAATATCTTTTCACCTCCTTGATGGTGTCCTTTGAAGCATACAATTTTAAAATTTTAGGGCCCAATTCATTTATTTCCTTTTATCACTTCTGCTTTTGGCATTCTATCTAAAAATCTATTGCCTAATTCAAGTTCAAGAAGATTTAATTAATTCCTATGTTTTCTTCTGAGAGTTTTATACTTCTAGTTTTGACATTTAGCTCTGATCCATTTTGAGTCAATTTCTAGATATCATGTACCCTTCTACTCCCAGTATGGAGTGTGTTAAATGCTTTTTCTGTGTCCACTTTAGTTTTTTTGTCCCTTGTTCTATTAAATATGGAAAATATGTGGATTGATTTTTATATGTTGAACCAACCTTGAATTCCTGGGATAAATCACTGGGTCATGGTGTATAATCTTTTTTTATATGTTGCTGGATAGGGGTGTTAATATTTTGTTGAGGATTTTTGCTTCTATACTTATAAGTGATAATGGTCTGTAGTTTTCTTTTTTTAACTTTTAAAAAAAAGATTTTATTTATTTATTTGAGAGAGAGAGAGAGAGAGAGAGGGAGAAGCAGACTCCCCGCTGAGCAGGGAAGCTTGATCCTAGGACCCTGGGATCATGACCTGAGCCAAAGGCAGCGGCTTAACTGACTGAGCCACCCAGGTGCCGCTGTAGTTTTATTTTCTTGCGATGTCTTTGTGTGGTTTGGGTATCAGGGTAAGCGTAATTAAAGATCTGTCAATTTTGTAAATCTTTTCAACATACTAATTTTTGGTTTTATTGATTTTCCCTACTTTTTCCTATTCTCTATTTCATTTGGTTACATTCTCGTCTTTATTATTTCTTTCTTTCTGCTTGATTCAGGTTTAGTTTTGTCTTTTTTTTCTGATTTCTTAAGGTGAATGGTTAGGTTCTTTACATGAGATCTTTCTTCTTCTTCTTTTTTTCCCCCTAATATAGGCATTTATAGCTATAAATTTCCAAGTACTCACTTAACTGCCTCCCATAGGTCTTGATATGCTGTGTTTTCCTTTTCATTCATCTCAAAGTATTTTCTAATTTCCCTTGTGAGTTCTTAGGCCCATTGATGATTTAGGAGTATGCTGTTTAATTTCCACATATCTGTGGATTCTTAAAATTTCCTTCTGTTATTGATTGTGGTCAGAGACTATAATTTGTATGATCTCAATTCTTTTAAATTTACTGAGATTCATTTTATATCCTAACATGAGGTCTGTCTTGGAGAATGTTCCATGTGCACCTGGGAAGAATATGTATTCTGCTCTTGTTGGGTGAAGTAGTCTATAGTATCTGTCAGGTCCAGTTGATTTATAGTGTTGTTCAAGTTTTGTTTCCTTATTGATCGACTGCCTGGTTGTTATATCCATTATTGAAAGTAGGATATTGAAGTCTCCAGCCATGATTGCTGAATTACGTATTTCTCCCTGCAGTTCTGTCAGCGTTTGCATCATATATCTTTGGGCCCTGTGTTTTAGGCCCATATATGTTTATTTGTTAGGTCTTCTTGATGGATTGACCCTTTTATCATTATAAAATGGTCTTTGTCTCTATAATCAATTTCTGTCTTAAAGTCTATTTTGTCTGATGTTAGTATAGCCTTTCAAACTCGTCTTTGGGTGTTGTTTGCATGGTCTAGCTTTTTCCATCACCAGGATGTTTCCTTCTCTGCTCCCGAAGGCATCCCCAGCAGTGGCTCCAACTGTGATCCTAAAGCCCATCAGCCAGCCCCTGCCTCTGTGGGGCCAGCCCCTGATGAATACCCCCACCTTGGCTCCAGCTCCTGCCTTAGTTTCTGGGCCCTGGTAATACCACCTTTCCCCTACAGTATCCCCTATCCCTCCAGTTCTGGGGATGCTGGCAACGTCCTGCTGTTATTAATCTCTGGGAGGCCTCACCATGCCTTGTTTGACTTCTCAGCCCTTCCATCACCTGGATAACTGGCTCCCTATATTAAATTGCTTTTGTTTCAAGTACCTAGACTGGCTCTTGTTTGCTTCAACCCTGACTGATAACAGGGTGATTCCTGTCCCCAAAGAGTTTAAGGTACAGAAGAAATTAAGGTTAGATTATACCCCTGTTCCCTACAGTTATGACCAAGACTAAGCATGACATGATGCTTTACTTAAAAGAAGGGAAAGAAATCCCAGATCGCACAGGGCAGGAAGGCAGATGGACAAGTAGATAGAATAGGGTTTCTTCTCCCCAGACTGATGAACATTCTGTTGGGATATAGTGCAGTGAGCTTAGCTCCCTGTATGATCTTGGGCAAGTTGCTTCCCTCTCTGGGCCTCAGTTTTCTCAAGTGTAGAGTGGGGAGACTGGGCTGCGTAACAGACACCTAAGCTTTGGCATCTGAGACTGAGGTGCAGGACTTGCTTGTGGCATCCTGCTTATGGCTTAACCGCTCCCTTTATCCCAAATCCCCCAAGTGCCAGCGTGAGAGGCCCTCACTGAACCTTCCCTCCAGCCCAAAGATTTTGACTACTCTCATCATTGGCATTTGGAGCCCATTTGCCTTTAGGGATATAGGAAATCTCTTGAACTAGGTGGAAAGGACTCCCAGGGGTTATATCTGGGCAGGGTGTTGGTAAGGAAGGGCACGGCAACTTCAGTTTGGAATTCTTCCAGAAGCTTCCTCTGCAGCCCTTTTCCACGTGCCAGATGCTTCTAAGAAAAAAATAAACTTAGAGGCAGACAACCTGTGTTCCAGCCTTGCCTCTGCTATAACTCACTGTGTGACTTTGGCCAAGTCACTTCCTCCATCTAGTTCTTGGCCGCCCACTGAAAATCATGGGATTGGACCACATAAGGTCCAGGCTCTCTTTTCAGGATATTTCTGGTTATCCTCAGAGATTTTCTTTGGTTCTGTAGCTGGTCTAGGCCCCCATAGAAGGTCCACAAGTATACCGGGAAGGACAGGAGAATTTTGTGGCAGATGCAGCACGTTGTCAGGGTAGAGGGATAAGGGGCTGTTGATTCTGGTCTCCTTAGCAACCTCTGCCTTATGCTAAGTGGTGGTGCTCACTCCAAATCCTTTTCCCCCTCTCATGGTCCTGCCCGCCCCCCCCCGCCCCAACTCTGGCTCTA